AATCCAAACAAATTGACTTTACCTCCTGACAGTAAATTCATCTTCCCTTCTCTTTTTCCATGACCATTTCAGAGCCTCATGTTCACAAGCACCACTACCTCATCTGTTCTTAGAATCTCTACTATGACTCCTACAAATTCATCTGCCTCTCAGCACATTAATCTGTTAACAACATGCATTCATCCAGGTCTATTACAAGTCTTGAAGGGCTCTGCATATCCTTCATGAAGTCCAAAGTGCCTAACATGGTATAAAACAACAAACAACAAGCGGCTCTCCAGCTTCTCCAAACGTTGCTACTTTAGGTGGCTTGTCTTCAGTGTGCCTTATCCATGCTGTCTCCTCACCTGGGGTACCTTCTCTGTCCATTGCCATTTGGTGGGACTAACTCCCACTCCTCCTTAGGGATTCAGCACAGGCAAATCTCTGAGAAGTCACTGGTTCAACAGCCCAAACCGTCTATGACCTTATGATACATCTCAGTAATTGTACTTTTCATGTCACCGTAAATAAGCTTATATCCCTCCCTTATCTGTTTTGTTTTTCAAGTTCAGTTAACATATAAAATAATGGGTCTCATGAAATTTTTATACACATTATCACTGCACCTGGATCATATGCTGGTCTCTTTAACATCCTCCAGCCCGTTGTGTTGCATGTGGCAATTGCTTGATAATATTTTTTAAAGAACTCAATTTTTATGGAAGGAATGTTCTTCTTAAACATTAGAATGACAATTACATGAACAAATTTCCAGAATTGAATCAAGTTCTTAATATCTATTTGTGTATTTTTATGCCTAATAACAATGTAGCACCCTGAGAAAACTTCTGTCCTCTGAAGTACTCGAATAAGGGCCGGCAAGATGGCTCAGCAGGTAAAGGTGTTTGCCACCAAGACTGCTGCTGACCTGAGTTCAATCCCCTGGAAACACATGGTGAAAGAAGAGAACGCACTCCCACAAGTTGTCCTCTGGCCTCTACACACACGCTGTGGAACATGTGCTTGAGCATACATGCACATAAATAAATGGAACCAAAAAATTTGAAAATCGTAAAGTACTCAAATGCTATTCCACAGCATCTCAAACTATAATCTCCATGTGGGCTCAGAGCAAGTCACTCAGAATAACTGACAGCCATTTTTTTCTCTGACGGTGAACATATGGGAGTAGATAAGCCTTTATAAAAAGTAAGAAGCAAATCTAACAAGTACCCTGTCTATAAACCTTAATGGTATAGTCATTTGGTAACTCATTATTTAAATTCATTTTAAATTCAAGCGTGGAGCTGAAGAGATGGCTTAGAGAGCAAAGCACTTGTCACCAAATCTGACAACCTGACTTTGGATCCTAGGACTCATATAAAACCCAGAACCAACAGTGCACATGTGTCTATAAACCCAGCGTGCCCCTCCTGGGACATGGGAAATGGACTGGAGAGTTGTTGGAAGCTCACATGCCAGCTAGTCTGGAGTACGCATTGAACAAAGAGACAAGGACCAACACTTGAGGCTATCCTCAGATTTCCACATGCTTGCTGTGTATGTGTGTGCCTGCATTCATGCACACAGGAATGAGCATGCGCACACACACAGCATACGTACAATAAATGAATAAGTAAAAACATAAAAAAAATGCAATTGTGGAATGGAAAGCAAAGCATCACAGACACATTATATGAGCAGAAACTGACAATGCCATGCTGATAAAGTAAAAAAGAAACAAAAACTAATTTGTGGGAGAATAGACTTGAGGAGGCAGAGACAGAGGATTCCTGAAACTAGCTGGCCAGTCAGTCTAGCTGAATCTATGAAGGTTCAGTGAGAGATCTGGACTCAAAATAATAATGATGATTAATAACAATAATGATGATGACGATGATGTGGAGAACAACTAATGTAGATGTCTGACATGGTCTCTCCTCTCTCTGTCTCTCTGTCTGTCTGTCTGTCTGTCTGTCTCTCTCTCATCTCTCTATTGAAGGCATTGGTGAATTCTTCCTTAGCTTTGGTGCTCAGTGTACTACAGTTTGTCAGCCTTTGTAAATATTACTGAAGAGCACCCTGTGCACTTTTGACAAGCCATTTGACATTAATGAACACAGTGACCTTGTTGATTGCTCTATTAGTGTCCATGTGTCGCATGCCATTTTCTACTGGAGTTTGAGATGTAAAACAGAACTATTTTTAATTTCATGGGAATTGTCAGTTCTAAAATTCAGCTAATTTGAAACTAACAGTAGAACAGAACTATTTTCAATTTCATGGGAATTGACAGTTCTAAAACTCAGCTAATTTGAAATTAACTAACAGTCTTACATTAAAAAGGGGGGAGAAGTGCTGTGTTCAGCAAATGAGAATTAATAATAATATCAAGTATAAGTCCTTTTTATTCATTCTAAGATAGAAAACAGAATTAATCAAACATAAAATAAAACTACATCGAAATAACCAATCTACCTTGGTACACTCCCTATTTAGATATTTTTGTGTGACTACATAGAACTAAAATAAGTAATAGTGTCATTCTGTACTGTGCCCGTCACCTAACTGAACACCACCACATATTGCCATAGCATTAAGTATTTTACAACACTTAAAAGGCTGTGTAGAGGCTGGAGAGATGGCTCAGCAGTTAAAGGCACTGGCTGCTCTTGAAGAAGACCCAGGTTCAGTTTCCAGCACCCACATGGCAGCTGACCACCATCTGTAACTCCAGTTCCAGGGGATCTGACACCTTCTTCCAGCCCTCACAGGCACTGCATGCACACGTCACACTCACATACATGTAGGCAAAACACTCATACACATAAAAAGCATAAAAATGTTTTAAAAGGCTGTGTAATAAGGCATTATATGATTATATAAACATTTATTTAAGCTACTGCCTACCCTACATCTAACTTGATTCCAATTTTTCTTTATTATAAACCCTGTTGTACAAGGATTCTTTCTGGAGTAATAAAAATGTTCTATATCTTAATAGAGTCACAGTAAATATATTTCAAATTTTACTCTTTTTTATTCTTTTTAAAAATATTTTGTTATTTTTATTTTATGTGTATGAGCATATTGTCTGCATGTATGTGAGTGCACCCATGTCGTGCAGTGCTGTGGAGGTCAGAAGAGGGCTTTGGATTCCCCTGGAACTGGAGTTAAGGATGGTTCGTAACCACCCTGTGGGTGCTGGAAATGAAGCCGGGGTCCTCTGCAAGAGCAGTCAGTGCTCTTAACCACTGAGCCATCTCTACTTTTAATCTTTGCATTTCAGAGTATGCTAATTATCACTCATTTTAAAGTAGTAGAAAAAAACAACTATGCTGTGGTGAACAGCTCTATATTTAAATATTTTTCAAATTAAGAGCTGGGGAGGCAGCTCAGTCAAGTGCTTGCTATGTAAGCATAAGGACCTGAGTTCCAACTCCAGTAGCCACGCAATAAGCTAGGTATGGTGGTGTGTGCTTGTAACCTAGTTTGGGGAGGATTTCTAGGGCTTGTGGGTCTGACAGCCTAGCCCCAGCGAGAAACTCTCAGAAAAACAAAATGATGAGATGGCTCAGCAGGTAAAGGTGCTTATCACCAAGCCTGATGATCTGCATTTGATTCCCAAAACCCACATAATGGAAGAAAATAACTGTCTCCTGCAAGCAGTCATCTGACCTCCACATGTATGCAGTGGCCCACACATAGGTAACACACAGTAAATAAACAGGAATAAAAACCAAAAAAGAAAAAAACAAGGTAGACAGTGCCTGAGGAATGATACCTGTAGTTGACCTCTGTCCTCCACACCTATATGCACACACAAACATACCTGCATATAGATACAAAAATTGATATTCCCTTATCCATCTATTCATCCAAAAACATTAACTGAGTTAGCACCTGAGTCAGGACACTGGCAAACTGACTTCCAGAGCATACTCTTACTAGCAAATTCTTAGTGTGTATCAATACTGGGTTTTTTAACCAATAATTAAAAAATGTATTTTTATTATTTTCATTTTATGTGTATGAGTGTATTGCATGCATGTGTCTAAGTACAGCTATGTCATGCAATGGTCAAAAAGACCAAAAAAAAAAGTCTTTCCTTTCATTAGATTTGAAAACTGCAACCCATTATTTCAATTTGTATGTTAAAAATTCTTAATGATAGCTTTTTTGGTCTTTTTGAGACAGGGTCTACCTGTAGCCCCAGCTGGTCTGGAACTCACTATGTAGACCAGGTTGGCCTTGAACTCATAGAGATCCATCTGCCTCTGCCTCATGAGTGCTGAGATTAAAGGCATGAGCCACCACACCTGGCTTGACATTCATTCTTTACTTAATGATTAGAAAAAGGTTGTTAAATATTTTTTATTCTATCTGTGTGTGTGCACGCACATGCCATGGCATATGTGTGGTGGTCAGAGGACAACTTGCTGAGGTCTAGTGTCTCCTTCCACTATGTGGGTTTTGGTGATGGAACTCAGACCTTCAGTTTGACAGTAAGCTCTTTTACCCACTTTGCCATCTCACTGGTCCAGCTTGTTAAACATATCAACTGGTTTCACATCTTTGAAAGACTTTTTCAGAAGTTTTCATTTACATTAAAACAAAATTTTGTGTATATGAGTATACTGCCTGCATGTATGTACGTGCAACTGTGTTGTGCAATGTCTGCAGAAGTCAAAATAGGACTTTGGATCCCCTGTAACTGGAGTTGTGGACAGTTATTAGCTGCCATATGGGTGCTGGGAATTGAACTCAGGTCCTCCGCAAGAGCAGCCAGTGCTCCTAACTGCTGAGCCACCTCTCCAGTTCCTCATTTACATTTTTTGCATGTAGTAAAATTTGTTATTTTTCATCTTATGGTTTTTGTCTTGGGTATTACACTTAGAACACCCTCCCTCACCCCCCAAACAAGGGATTCAATGCCTATATTGTCTGACCCCACTCTTCATGATACATGGAGTTTACCCAGGTAGTAGCAGGATACTGCTATGCTATAAGACTCCTACCTTGGTGAGCAAGCCTTTCACTGTTGGTTTGCCCTCAGGCTGCAGGCAAAGTGGGTTAGCAGCTTGTACTCGTAGAACATTCTGTAATACTTTAATCCATTCTTCCAATATATTGGGAGAATCTGCAGTCAGATAGTATGTGTGTTTTTCTGTGGTCAGCTAGAGTGGGATGAGGAAGCAATAGGAAAGGCACTGTGAAGACCGAGATGAGCATTTCCCTGTCATTGCTACATCACCCACATCCTTACTACACAGGAAAGCAGATGTGGTGCACCTCCAATGCTAGGTTCCATGACAATTCGAATACTTTAATCACTGTGAGAGTGACCGTGACAGTCATTTGCTGTTTTAAACCTCTGAGGCATTCTCAATCCACTGAAAGCCTCAATCATGGACTTTCTGGCTAATGTTGTCTTATACCCTCCAAAGAAGCAAGACAAAACAAATAATGGTTGTTGATAACATTTCAGAAAGAAAGTGTCTCAATTTACAATTGTCAGACTATCTTAAGAGTTTTAAATTTAACAGGTTTATGCGGCTAAGATGGGCAGCTGCCACCTCTGGTGAGACTTGGCAGCACAGTGCCTCTGCTCACCAACAGCTTTCTTTCTCTGAAGTTCATGGGAGACCTGTCACTGTCAAACTCTGTGTTAAAATACATCCGCTCTGGAATCCAATAGTATATTATGTCATTAACATCTTCTTGAAAATTCATTTATCAGATAACCCTTACCTAAAATAGCTTGACATTTGAGAGCTGAAAATATCTGGGAGATTAAATATTGGAAAAGTACGGGAAGAAAAGGTAAAGAAGGATAGTGTAAATTACCAAACATAAACTTAGCTTGCATTACAGCTTTAACTAAAAAGTCTCAGGACTTTACATACCTTTGAGAATCAAACTGATTCTAAAGTGAGTAAAGATACAAAGATTCGTCCAATCTCAACTGAGAATTGTTTTGCATGATACCAAAAGAGTAACAAGTTAAAAAAATGTGTACCTGAACTGTTTGTTTGTTATCTCCTCTTAAAATACTGCAGGATGCACTAAGTTCAATATGGCCCTGGGGTTTTCTAATTACATCACTCTGCATGAAAGGAAGAAAAGCAAACATAAAAAGATTAGCTATAACAGGAATTATAAGAATGTTTTGTGCCATTAACACATAATTAGATTTTTATTACAGGGAAGAAAATCAGCTGGAAGCTTGCTTTAGAGTTTGAGGAATTCAGGTCCACTCACCGGAGATTTGTAGTAAAGTAATTCACCCCCTTTAAGAACAAACCACCTCCGCTTCCAAGTCTTGACTTTCCCACTCATTTTTAGTAGATAGCCAGATTTTTCTAATGGTTCCTAATTAAAAGAAAACATTTGAAAATGATATTGTTTCCTTTTGGAAAGCCAAACAAACAGATTCATTAATTTTTAAAAGTCAGAGCCAATGTTTACATTTTTCCCATTATCGCTGGAAGATGAGCAGGTTTTGGGCAGCTTCTGCTCCGGCTGTGAGCACTCAGTGTCTGTGCAGTAAGCATCAGGAGGAATGGCATAATCACTTTCAGAAGCCACAGAAGAGACAGACACACCTAGGAAAACAAAGACATAAATTAAGCTGATATTTCATACTGGAGTGGGTCCAACACCAGCTGTTAGTTCTCCTACAGGATGCAATGAATTCCTGCATCATAAACCACCCTATACTTAGATTTATCTCCATCTCTCTGGCCACAGAGAACTTTTGATATGGGAAACAGAACTAAGGGTTGAAATTGTCACACAAATTTCCAAGAAAGTCAAATGAATGCAAATAATATTTTGATATGATTATGATCATAACTATTCCTATATATACAAAGTACTATGCAAGTCTACTAATGTATCCTCAAAATATATGTATTTATACATTGATATATAGACAAAAAAATGCTGTACCTTAGTTTACCAAGATTTTCACAATCACATTTTAAACCACTTAGTTTCTGTAATCACTTTCAAAGTAATCACATAAAAGTGTGACCGCAATAGTTTTTCATAAAAGTCTAATAAACTACTAAACAACTTATAGATTAAAATATCTTTCATATAAAAATCTTTCATAAATGAGACTTAAGCCAGGTGTGGTGGCACACGCCTGTAGTCCCAGCACTTGGGAGGCGGAGGCAGGCGGGTCTCTGTGAGTTCAAGGCCAGCCTGGTCTACATAGTGAGTTCCAGGACAGCTTGGGCTACAGAGAGACCCTGTCTCAAAAAGACCAAAAAAAAAAGTGATATGTTTGGGGGACAAGATGAAAAGGGGTTGAGTTGTGATGGTTAGTTCATGAGATTTAGAATCACCATAGAAAGAAGTGTCTAGGCATTTCTGTGAGGGAGTTTCTAAACAGGTTAACTGAAGTGGGAAGACCCACTGTGAGTTACAAGCCATATACAGATGGGGAATAGAAGTGAAGATTTTAAAATACTAAATAAAGACAAAAACTTTGGCCATTATACATTACAGCAGAATTTTTACAAATTTAAAAAAACTTTACAGAATTTTTAAAAAATGGTCATTAATTTAAGGGCATACACAATAATGCTACCCTTTTAATATTACTCTCTACTTACTTGATTCAGACAGATAACAGTTGTATGATAATACCTTTATTTTTCATAGCATACCAGAAATTAGGAACCTCAGTGATCATCCTGGCTACACCCACATTTTTTAAAGGAGTCTAAAGACCCAGAAATGACAGGATTTATCCAAAGTCAAATAGCTAAGCAGGGGTAATGTTGCAGGGCAAAGTTCAGCTTCCAACCCCAGAGCTAGTGTACCAGGCACTGTCTGGGGTGCTAGAGTTACATCAGACAACAAAACAAATCCTTGAGTCCTCATGGAACAGAATCTGGTGAAGGGAGGTAACTGTCTAACAGGTGCACGTGCTACAAAAAATAAAATATGGGGCATACGAAAGTAAACAGAAAGAGGTGGCAAGAGAAGGTCAAGGACTGCAATTTGAACAGTGTGGTCTGGGTAGATCTCACCGAGGAAGCAACGTTTGAGCAAAGTGATGAGGGCAGTGAGGGGTTCCCTTACATAGGCATGTGGAAAGTCGAGAATGATGGCGCACACATACAATCTTAGCACTTGGGAAGTGAAGACAGGTGATGAGGAGTACAGGACTAGCTTTGGGTACAAAAGACCCTATTTAAAAAAGAAACATACATGTTTTTAACCTGTAAACAAGAGGGCTAGAAAGGCCAGCCCCGAATTAAGAGAAAAGAAGGGATGAGGTTAAAGATATAAAAGAATAAGAAACACCTTACAGCCATTATGAAGAACGCTTGCAGAAGCTTTTTGAGCAAAAATATGACAAAACTTAATTCTGACTACAGGGAACCAGGTGAGAGCACGGAAACTTGTGGAAGCCCGAAATATTAAACCAATGAAAGCTGAGCAGCTCTGATTGAAGCTTCAGAGCTTGAAAATGCCCAGAGATTCCATAGAACACAGTCTGGAAATCAACAGACATATAATGTGACAAAGACATCCCTAAAATGTAAGAACCATTTAGTGAGATGAGCTCTCTCTGTAACCTCTTCCTATGCACAAATTTTACTAAAAGTTGGGCTAGGAAAATGGCTCAGTAGGTAAAGTGCTTAAGCATGAGAACCTGAGTTCAGATCCCAGAATCCACATAAAGCCAGACATGTAGTGAATGTCTATAATCCTAGAACTCCTACAGCAAGATGGGAGGCAGAGGCAACAGCACCCCAGGGAGCTCATGGACCAGCTAGCCTGGAGCACAAAGCCTGAACAATAAGGCAACCTGTCTCAAACAAGGTGGAAGGCAAGGCCTGACATTTGAGGTTGTGCAGTATGGCATGTATACACCTGCACTCATGCACACGGACACAAAGATTTTAAAAATTACAAGTTATATGTATGCACAAATAAAGCTGTAGTCATTTTCTACTTTAATATCAGACTAACCAATACAAATTGTAGGTATATTTTCTTACATTTGACAATAATATGTCTATTCCACAAATTATCCAAAATGTCACAAAGTAACTACAAAAAAGAAATTTTGTTTTGGCTAATAATGCCCCTTCATTCCACAACAAAGTGATCTCTCTCCTACTACAACACAAATCATCATCATCTTCATCATCTTCTTCTTCATCATCATGAAAGACTATGGGGTGTGAAATCACAGAGAATTAAGTAGAAAATTATGACTAGAAAGTAGAAATCTCAGTCCCAGGCTAATGCTCATTTCACTACAGTTAAAAAAAAAGCACTTCTCTAAGTCCTATTTTGGAGATAGAGTCCAGAATCAACATTTTGAGTGCCTCCGGTGCCTGCACTTTCCCCTCACCTCGCTTCATGGCTCTGGGGCTGCTTGGTCCACTGCGGCTGCGAGTATCTGACTCTGATGTTCGAGAGCTGGACCTGGAGCTGTCCTCTTCCTCCGAGCCAGATGAATCATCCAGGAAAGGGCTGCTGCTTATTTGCGTCGCCTTCTAAAGAAAAGCAGAACAGCCTCCCTATACCTATCTCCAAAGTTTCCTCCCTCTTTAGATATGCAAAGCTTAACAGAAAGCAGTTATGGAATATGATTGTTTGAGACATACCAGAATATATTTGCCATTATGTATTTGCCATTATGAAAGTCATGTTGTCAAACCTTTAATTCTAATTAGCTAGGAAATTGTCAATTATAAAAGATTCCCCAAAACATAAGGTTGTCAATATGTGACAGTTCTTGTTTTAATTAGGTACTTCTGGCAAGGAAGGGGACCCTGGCATGGATACAAAGATTTTTCTAAGTAGGAAGTTTCCACTGCATCATTAATAATATACTTCCTTTCAAATTATTAACAGTCTGAGGCAGGAGTGAGGGGAAGCCATACCATAATGGATACAGACCTCTGTCTTCTCCAGACCTTTATTTCTGTGAACTTTTAAAACTCTGCAAAAGGATAATATCTTTAAAATGTTAAGAATGGAATCTGGAGCTTGAAGGCAGTGTCCCTGAGCCTCCTGAGGAGAAATGTATGTCTAGCAGGAAGGGACGCATTACCCCCTTCAACGTCGTATACACTGGCGTTGTCATGTTCTTGTATATCAGAGACGTATAAAGGCCCGATGTGGAATAGGAAAGTATGTTGGCAGAATCTGAAACAGAAAACACCACCAGAAAAAAACCTTCTGACAGGCACATTGGCCTATTTCTTAAGAATATGAATTAAAAAGAAATTGAGTTAACAAGTGATTACTAATCATAGTCTGTTTTATGAATTATGGCATTTACAGGTTTATGATTACACTTTCTGGTATTGGGAAGGTTTGTTTTTTTGTGACAGGATCTTACTATGTAGCTCAGGCTAACCATAAACTAGCAGTGATCCTCCTGCCTTGCCCTCCTGATTGCTAGGATTATAGGCACCACACCAAGCTACAAACACACTTTTTCACAGGGGTCATTATTGGCTTGTGTATGCTAGAACCAACTAGATTGATAAGTTCTTTGACAGCAAGAACCATGGCTTTTATTTCTTTAGCATCTCCATACATGCTTAGCTGTGCAGAACTAAGCATAAATCACCCTGACTGATTTAGTAAGTGGTCCTTTTGAAGACGTTCTTTGACTATTTGGGCCCTGTCTCTGACATGTTGTTAAAACACCATCATTCTTTCTTATCGTTATTATTTATTTAATGTTTAATGAGTGTATTGCTTGCATGTAGGTAGGTGCACCCATGTCATGAAATGCACTTGGAGGTCAGAAGAGGGTGCTGGAATCCCTGAAACTGGAGTTACGGACGGTTGTTAGCTGCCATGTGGGTGCTAGGATAGAACCTGGGTCCTCTGCAAGAGCAGTCAGTGCTCTTAACCACTGAGCCATTTCTCTAGCTCCAAAACACCATCATTTTTAAGCCCCGCTGAGTGAATTCAGTGGTGAAGGTTTGGAATATAATTTCCTGAATACTGAGAACACAAGATAATTAAAAAGGAAAGAACATTAGCAATTATCTCTCTATATGGACTAGGTAGTTGGAGGACAGACAGGAGGCAGGTAGAAGAAACAATGGGAAGTTTTCTCTTCTTATTCCAGACATTTCTGTGTGGTTGTTTTGCTTTGTTTTTGAGACAGGGTCTCATGTAATCCAGGCTAGCCTTGACCCTAGATAGCTGAGGCTAGCCTTGAACTCTTGGTCTTCCTGCCATCACCTTCCAAATGCTCCTTTTATTTATTTTTTTTAATAAGGGCATGCATTGTTTCTATAATAATATATTTGAAGGAAAGACACAGAAACCAATACTTTCATAATTTTTGTAACTTTAAACAGGTAAAATGTCCATTTCTTTCTACTTTAGCCTTTTTTAGGTAAATATAGCAAAGTACTTTCCACATCAGAATTTAACATATTTGTGTCTTTATAATAAGACCAATATCAGTTTTAAAGCAAATCAAAAATCATTTCCTGAACATTTATATAATTCCTTTTATTCCAATAACTTCAGACATCTGGGAAGCCTAGTGAAAGAGCAATACAAAATCACATACTTAACAAAACTTTTTATTACAGATTCTTTTTTTTTTTTTTGGTCTTTTTGAGACAGGGTCTCCCTGTAGCCCCAGCTGTCCTGGAACTCACTATGTAGACTAGCCTGGCCTTGAACTCACAGAGATCTGCCTGCCTCTGACTCCCGAGTCCTGGGATTAAAGGCGTGCGCCACCACGCCCAGCCCTTATTACAGATTTTTTAAAGACATAAACAATAAAATTTACCGTCTCAATCATTTTAAGTATACAATGTACTATAATTGAGTTTATTCGCATTGTTGTAAAACAGATCTCTAGAATGTTTTCATCTAAAATTCTAAACCCCACTAAACATACTTTCCCTTTTACCCACTTTCCCTAGTCCCTACTAACCATCTTTCTACATTCTGTTTCTATGAATCTGATTGCTTTAATGGCCTCACTGATGTAGAACAATACGTGCCTGCCTTTTCATGGCTGTACCATGTATTTGTGCTGTGTTGTCACTTAGCACATGTATGCAAGGCTCGCCCATGTCATAACAAGCAAACACACTCACCTTTATTAGCATTCTCCATATTGAAGGCTTCAGACATTCGAATGCCTGATTTGGCTACAGCATAAATTCTGCTTTCCTAATATAAAAGAGAGATTGAACCAAGTTTTTAAAGCAAAAAAATGACTACTTTGAATATATATGTTTTAATCTGTTCTTCAGATAATATCCACAAGTATACAGCATTATCATAAAACTCACCAGTGCCAAAAAAACATATCACTGTGGGGGGCTGGAGAGATGTCTCCGTGGTTAAGAGCACTGGCTGCTCTTGCAGAGGACCCAGGCTTGATTCCCAGCACTCACATGGCAGCTAACAACCATTTGTAACTCCAGTTCAATGAGATGCAATGCCCTCTTATGATTTCTGTGGGCACGTATGCATGTGATACATTTACATACATTGAGGCAAAACACTCATATGCATAAAATAAAAATAAATGAAATAGGGGCTGGCTGTGGTGGTATATGCCTTTAATCCCAGCACCTTAGGAGGTTAAGGTAGATGGATTTCTGTGAGATCTAGGACAGCCTGGTCTACATATTGAAGTCCAGGCCAGCTAGGGCTTACAGGAAGACCCTGTGTAAAAAATAAGTAAATCAATAAATAAATAATTTTAAAAACACCACTGTGAATTACAGTGTAGAGATTTTTTTCTCCAATCAATAGTCATTCCATTATTCATTTCTGTTCCCAAACTTTGGCTTGACATCTTAAATTCTTTGGAAGATAAAGGGAATGAGTATGAGAAAGTTCATTCACAATCACCTACCACAGATAAGCATATCTTTAATGTTCTACCATTCTACATATGGTTTGAGATGTTCTAGAAAAGGAAAAACACTGAATAGCTGTAATCTGAAGTCAAATACCATTTACAACCACTGAATACACATACATTTCTTCTTTAATAGTCTACCATGGTTAGAAGGAAAACATTTGAGAATTACATTGGAATTATTATTTTGTTCCCAAAGTAGGTTACTGTGTTTTTCCTTCTCCTCTAAGATCTCTGAAATGGGTACTAGAATGGCTATTTGCACTGTCCAATGAGAAAGGGGCTCTGGGTAGTATAGTTCCCAGTGCATGAATGATCATGCTCTGCCTTTTGGAAAGGGTCCCAATCTGAACACAGCTGGCTAGACCAGAACACAGGAAGCAACCAATGCCATCCTCTCCCAGGTTGACCTGAGGGGTAACTGCCATGAGATCACTGAGGATGGAGGACACTTTAGATTGATGAGTGTTTGGCAGAATGGATAAGATGTAGCTTCTTTGAAGATGTGAGAGGTGCAGAAATGAAGGGCAGAGTGCATGGATCAGAAAGTCTGTAAAAATAGGCAACAAACAGGAGCTGGAGGCTGTGAGGGCGTGCAAAGGGTGAGCGAGAGTACCAAGTAGGAAGGAGAGTGGAAGGAGGGTCCCTGTAGGAGAGGACAAGCTGAGCCACCAGAGCAGGGACAATGGGGTCTCTCATTTCTAAGGAGCTGACTATCAGGGTACTGCTGAGTCACAGGCTGTCCCACTAGAATCACTATTCTATTCAGAATGATATTCCAGTTCAAAAAGGATAGGCTATGCTTTAAAACAGCACCTTGCTAATTGAGAGAACTAAAACATTTTCCCCTGAAACCTGAAAAGGCCTAAGAAACATCAACCTTGGTCAGTGTACTAGAAGGCTTTTCCAGGACTGAACAGCTTTAAAAGAGGAGAAGGAGGCAAAAGGCAAAAGTGTGTAACAGTTTGCCAAATAAAACATACTTAAAAGCCTAACTGAAATCTATGAAAATCTCAACATAATAAAGAGGCAAAATTTCAACTTTTCACTGCCTAAAGGGTAACATAGCTGGAATTCCAGAGAGTCACATGCCATTAACTTCTACTTTTCCTGTACCATTCGAAATTTAGTAATAAACTAGAGACAGTTTCATGTGGGTGCTGAAATGAAAATGTTTTCTTGAAAGTAAATAGAAGCAGACACATCCCAAAATCTGAATTTATATTAGGAAAACCATGGCAGCCCTAATTTACTTAGAGTTACTTAGAGTAGTTACTAAATAAAATAATCATAATAAAAGAACATGACTCCAAAATCCCAAATTTCTGGCACTCCAGATGCATCTCTTGAGACCAAAGGTTAAAATTATGCCAATACATGGAAGAAAACTTAAGTCTATAAAACAGACCAATTCACTTAGTTTTAAATACAGAATTGTTAGGACGGCAAGATGGCTCAGTGAGTTAAAGGTACTTGCCGCCAGGTCTGACAACCAGAGTTTGATCCAAACTGGTGGAACTGATTCCTGCAAGTTGATCTCTGACCTCAAAATGCTCATCATGTATGCACACCCCTGCCTCCCACAAATAAATAAATGTAAAAATAATTAAATATAAAATTTTTTAAAAAATCTATCAATGTAGATATTTCTAAGAACTATCACACAATTGACAGTAGTAATGGTCAATGTTTCCATAGAAGATTCAGTCTATTCTAGATTTGTAAGAAGATGCTTTGGTTGACATAATGGATTTATAAGCTCATTAAGAGTAAGGCAAACCTCCCTTAAGCCAATCAATTAAATGAAAAAGTTCAAAACACAATGACCAATAAGAGTAAAGTGCTGTTTCAGAATCGACTCTAAGTATCACAGAGGGACTCTTTCTTCCTCACCCTATCATGTTTCCTTCTATGTGGTAGGATCTCCAGTCACTGAACACTCCAGACCTCTCCAACCCATTCACTGTCTCTTCCTTGGCAAGCACAGCCCAGAACTTTCCTCTCTCTTTTCTCTTGAGAAGCAGCTCCCACAGGAAACAAGCATCTGTACTGTTTCTCCAGGTTGTGTGAGTTAAAGAAGTCATAACCTCACTTCTCACAGGAGGAGGCCTCCACTGGTCTAGCACCAGCTCAGGCTGGGTGAATAAGTCTAATTCAGAAGTTTAACACTGAAAAGCTCATTTGGGTTCCAATTCTCTTATCAGTAAATAAAGTCATATTTTGAATTCCCATCTCTCTTGTTTCTCAAGTATTCAGGAATAGGTTGGGAATGAGAAGGGGAAATTGTATTCTGAAAACTAGAAATTGTCAGCCACTGGTCTAGCACCAGCTCAGGCTGGGTGAATAAGTCTAATTCAGAAGTTTAACACTGAAAAGCTCATTTGGGTTCCAATTCTCTTATCAGTAAATAAAGTCATATTTTGAATTCCCATCTCTCTTGTTTCTCAAGTATTCAGGACTAGGTTGGGAATGAGAAGGGGAAATTGTATTCTGAAAACTAGAAATTGTCAAAACAAAGCTGGATTTGAAAAGAAATGGTGTGTGTGGCAGGGTGTAAAACCTGAGGGTGCACTGGGCCTGATGGCAAACACCTTTAATCCCAACACTAGGAGGCCAAGGCATGTAGAGCTCTGTGAGATGGTGGCCAGCCTGGTCTACATAGAGATTTCCAGGCCAGCTGAGGCTACAGGGAGACCCTGTCTCAAAACACAAAACAAAAACCAGAGGGTGCATGTTGAGAAAAAAGCATGTATGTGTTGCACACAGGGATATAATTACCCAAGAGGGAAACCGGTGCAGGGGCGGAGTGGGAGGCTTGCTGCACGCTGCCTTCTTGGCTGGCTCACTGCTGTCCTGATCGTCCGGGGAGCTGTAGGAAAATAATCCATCCTCACAGCCTGCATCTTGGCTTTCCGTGATTTCCATACTGCCACCTTCAACTAAATCCAGATCCGTCTCCTGAGGTCTCAGTGGTCTTATCATGCTGATAGCATTTCTGTTTGAGCCAAACATCCTGTCGGAACACAACTGTGGCTGGCTCAAGTGCCTTTTGGTGAATGCCACACTTATGCTGAAAACATTAGGAATCCTTAACTTGGGGGGTGGCAGGTGTGATGAAGGCACTAACTGTGTTCCTCTTCCAGGGAGTGAGTTAGGATGCTTTGGGATTAAAGCTGGGGTCAAAATAGGGCTTGGGGTGTTGGCCTCGCTCGATGAGGAGGAATAATCCAGTCTTTGGGACTGAAATTTTTTATTCAGTTCATCTGAGGAACTATCCTGCTCCTTTTTACTTGACTCAGAGTTCCCCTTTGCAAGGCTATTCCTGGCTTTCCACTGTGCCTCCTGTTGCCAAGAATATAGCTTTTTGTGTTCTGGCCTCTTTAGACCAAAAGTCTCTTCTTCAAATATAGAACTGCTGTCATCAGATGCTGTCAGATACGCTTCACTCCCCATCCTGCCACACTGGGCACCTTCCTCCGACGTGTGGCTGGAAAGGGTGGACGTGCACCTGGACTTGGATCTGCCCTTGCCCTCATCTTCCTCTTCAGAACTCCAGTCACTCACTGGAGCCCCAGAATTCTGGGATATACTACCATCTGTCGCAAAGCTTGTTCTTGTTTTCCGATTCTGTTCCAAGCCACAGGAGGTTTCATGCGATGATCTCTGGCTTCTGTTGTTTTCTTGAACTTGGTTATTAGTAGACATCTCTGCAATTTCCATTTCTAGAGGAAGATACATATATTGGCACGTTTGCCTTTAATAATAAAACTTCTAGGTAACTACATTATATGTGTTGTTACACTGCTTGAAGTAATTACACCGTAGAAATTGGCAATTTCATGTGAAAAAGGTTAGCTTACATTATTCTTTGCTAGTTTTATGCCTTTTAAAGCACAAGTTTGAAAACTGTAGGTTTTATATAAAATGCAGAGTCCTTATACTTCTACTTAATTGCATCTAAATTAAATTGCTTTTTATAAACAAATATGTTGGGGAACAAAACTTCACAACAGTATAAAAAGAAATAATAAAAGGAGCAAAATGTGAAATAGGCGACTTTGAACATCGAAGAAAGTAGCCACAAAAAAAGAACATCATTAATCCCATTTTAGAAACCAAGAAAATGACAATTCTCTTCCCACTAACCTTCAAAATTACCATAATGTAAACCTAAAACAATAAACAGAAGGCTATAATTGAAGAAACACACTTTGTGTCCAAGCTTCTATACATGAAATATGCAAAATAATGAAGAAAGCAAGAGAAAAAAAGCTCTCCTCTACTTTTTGTTTAATTATAACTACAAACCACTCTTAAAATGACTTTAGATATGGATTCTATTTATTAGCAAGGTAAGTAATAGGATGTACCAATGTCTTCACAAACAATGATTTAAAACTTTAGATTAGGGTTGGAAAGATGGCCTAGCCTAGCAGTTAAGAGCACTGACTGCTCTTGCAGAGGACCCGAGTTCGATTCCTGGCACCCACAT